TGGATTCCTTCTCAAGATCCACTGTTCTCGATTATGAACCTCCCCTCTTCTCAAAGACTTGTCATGGTGGCTGGACTATGCCAATACTGCCTCTTGAGTTCTCTTACCACCACCACCCCCAGTCTGGATCTCCATTTCTTCACTGATGTTTCCCTCTCAGATTGAGGTGCATCTTTGGATGATGACATGACTTTTGGTGTTTGGACACAGGATGAGCATTCAGCCCATATTAATATCCCCAAGCTTCTTGCTGTTTGTTGGGGATGTTCATATTTCTTGTCTTACTGGTGGATCACATTTGTCATGATACACTCCAACAATTCAATGGTCATTTCTGACATCAACCATCAAAGGGGTACCTGTTCCAGGACCCTTTGCTATCAATCTTTTAACCTGTTCTTCTGGGCTCATTCACATTGGATCCATTTCATTGCTTGCCATGTGTTGGGAGCTATGCACCTTGTGGTATACCATTTCTCTCAGCCAAACCATATTATGTCCATGGAGTGGTCTATTTACCCCCCAGGTCATTTTGTTGGGCATGCCTTTGCCACCACTCTCAACTCCAAGCTTCCTCTCTTCTGGTCTGTGGTTCCTCATCCTTCAGCTCTGGCTGTCAATGCTGTCAGCCAGGACTGGTCTGATCTTTTTCTATGTGCATATCCTTCACCTTGTTTCCTTTCTCGGATACTTACCTTAATATGTGACACTCACTGTTGGTGGTGCATCTTTGGCCAGCTCAGCCTTGGTTTCCTTTGCTTAGCATCCATACCCCCATTTCCTTTACTCAGTATACCCTATCTATTGCTTGAACCTCATACATCACTGTTTCATTAGAGCATATTGTCCCTTCATCTTCACATGTGTGATTCGTCCAGGCCACTGCCAATCAACCTGAACAATCTGATCATGTGGTCTTTTTCTTGTCACATTCCTGTTGCTCTTCCACTTTGTCCATCAGTCAACGTATATAGCATGTCTTTTGTTGTTGTTCCATCATCCATCACTCCTTTCCTCCCAGCTGTCCCACTGTGAACCACCTTTCTGCCATTTTTTTACTTGGTTGTGAGCATTATCCTCTTCATGATACCACAGAGTGTTTTCTTCCTCTGTGCTATCCACTCTTTTTCTCTTATTCTTTCTTCAGTGACCTCCTTGCCTAACTCCCATGCCTGACTGAGATCTTAATGCAGTTTTGCTCGCTTACACGAGTGACCCATTCACGCTGTTGACTTTTTGCTTTATATACTACCTTTCTTTCAAAACTTATTTCCTTCTCCTCCTTGCCCATGGTCACCATTGTTCAGACATTTGTGCTATTGATTCTTCTCTTACATTTTTCCAACGCACTTATATTCTCCTTTACCTGGACAGGTATTTCTTACCTAAGACCCCTACTTCCCAGGAATGTTACTACTCTTTCTCTCTTGTATTCTTTCATTCTGTCTCTCAACTCTGTGATCATTCAGCCTGGAACAACAACCATATCCTTTTCTGGCTGTTCAGTGCTACTTATTTGGAACCCCTCCATTTCAGAATCCCCATCATTATTTGTTTATATCCTGGAACCCCTCTTCTTCCAGTGACCTCTCTCCTTGTACATTTCCATTTGGTATATACTTCTCTGGATGTGGATGCTCACAGATTATTTTACATTTCTTCGCATGAAATTCATCATCTGATTCACTCCTTTGCTTCTCATTTTCACCAACCTTTGGATGAGATCCTCCAGGCAGGCATTTGGATGACTCCCCACTCATTCATCTTTCATTATCTCCACCATCTTGGTGGATTTCAACTTCCACTGGTTGTCACTCTTCAATCAACCCACTGTCTTTGAGATGGGTGTGTTTATTTTTAATTTCTCTCCATTTTATCATTAGGATCCTGCCAGGTGGCTGGTGTTGCCTTCAAGCCAGGATAACAGCAAGTGCTTAAACCATCCTTCCTGAATCTACCAGTGCCAACAGTGAGATGTGGTGTTCCTCTAGACCTTTTGAGGTATCCTCATTGTATACATATTTACTCATTTAACTGATCCAGATCATACCAGTTCTATGGACTATCATGGAAAAAGCACCAGGGAAGGTGTCTGCCCTTTTCATTAGCTCGTGCTTGCCAGTTTTTCAAAATAGCCATTTGCAGTCACTCATTGCACTGTCTCCAGTACAAGGCTTTTCTGACTGGTAGTCTAATGGGAATCTTTACACTTCTCTGGATCTCACCAATGTGAATTCTCTCCCCCCCCCTTCTCTGAGTAAAGCATGGGGGCCACTTGCCAGTTCCTAGCCACTAGGGTGGTGGCCCATGGAGAATCCTCAACAGTTGGGCTTGGCATGTTATGGTGAGAAGTAGGTGACACTGTCAGTATAGTATGAGTCACACCTCACACAACTACTTTGCTCTCATCCTGCAGTCGGAGTCTGTCCACTAGAGTTGAGGTGAACATAAATTGTATGATCTTGTCACACCCTAACAACATTTACACATATTGGCTTACTGATCATTTGTATGCAGGTGCTCAGTTGGTCATGATTACATTCTGCTCATCCCTGCAACATTTCAGACTCTCTCTCTTCTTTTCTTCTTGGGTGAAGAGCATACTCTGGTTAAGACAAGATGAAGTCTCTCACGGGTGTGCCTCTATGGAACCAATGCCATCAGGTGTTACACTCCATGGGCTTCCCTTCAGGTGCTTTCTGAAAGGAGCTCATCTTGGTAAAATGTTGCACTGGCCCCTCAACCACTTCAATGTGGGATTCTAGTGTTTCTGTGTGTGGAAGTGATTTATCATCTCAGAAGTTAACATTTTCCTAATCTTAAGATGTATTTCTGATAGATACTCGCACATTCTGTTCTGACCTTTCCACTTCAAATGCACCTTTTTTTCTTGCCTCATTGAAAAATGAAGTTACTGCAAGTGCATAGGGGAAGTTACTACACATGGAAGTTGTGTCACCTTGCTATTGGTGGAGGGATATTGTTGCATAATGATGTCTTCGCACACCAACACAGTTCACATAGAGCATGCAAATTCAGGTGGAAGCTAGTTCAAGGCTAATGGCATGCCACTCTCATAGACAGACATGCAACAGAAATAGATTTTCCATGTGTGGAGATACAGTACTGTGCAAAAGTGTTAGGACAAAGTTAAAAATTAGATTTGAGACTACTTTCAAATAACAATGGAAAGTAAATCACAGGTAAAACATCAACATTTTATTAATCTTCATATTTAGTCCAACAGAACCTCAGTGGAAGTACTTGAGTTCAGCAAACAGTTAATATTTTGTGTGTTCCCCTTTTGCTTTAATAACTGCAGACAGTCATTCAGGCATTGTTGCGACATATCTAATTAAAATGTCCTTTGGGATTTTACTCCAAATGTCTCTAATACACTCCCATAAAGTTTCTTTGGAAGTAACTTTTGATTTGTCAAGTTTTTGATCTGTCAAATCCCAAATGGGTAGAGGTCAGGGCTCTGTGGCAGCCATTGCATCATTTGAATGACTCCGGCAACTACTTTCTTAACTAAGTAATTTCTGCGTAGGTTGGATGAGTGTTTGGGGTCATTATCTTCTTGGTAGTAAAATCCTTTACCAATAATAAGCAAACCACTGGGTATACCATGACAGATCAGTATCTGATGGTACTTGTTCTGGTCTATTATTCCATCTATTTTGCAAATATCTCCTGTCTCTCAGCAGGAAAATACCTCCTAAACCATCACATGATGGCAGGTGCTATGCATTGAGGAAAATATCTTTCACCTTTATTCCACTGGATGTACAACCTACGCGTTGAACCAAATATTTCCAAATATAAACTTTGGACTTATCTGTCCATAACACCCTTTTCCAATCACCAACAGGCCAGTTTTTGTACTTTTCAGCAAATTTCGGTCTCTTGACAATATTTGGAGATCGAAGTAAAGGTTTTTTAACTGTTACACGACAAAATATTTCATCTCGTTGAGTCTTGTTGATAATGTAGATCTGAACACTTTTCTGTCATTTGGTACATGATCGTTTATCTCATGCTTGAAAAGCTTTTATGTTAACTCTCTGCTCTACTGACAATTCTCTATGCTTTTTGGACCGTGGCATGGCAACAAAATTTAATATATAGTGTTAAACATTGTTTTTATCAAGGTTTATTTGTGGAATGCTATTAAATTTATTTCTTCTGGCATATACCGGTACCATTTGCTAGCTTCTTTCTATATAGTAAA